TGAAAATCATTTGAAATTTGTGTCAATACGTCATAAATACAACGCAGCAGCAGTTTTCTGTCAGGGATTTGTCGTGTCGTGCCGCGCCGCATCCAGTGTAGACCTTAGATATGTATACATATATATATATATACTGTATATGGTGTAGACAGCATCACTGATTATAATGAGTTTGCGCGCCGCACCACTCGCGTCCGGTGTAGACACGGTGTAACATTGGTTTTGCTTTGTTTCACAGTACTAATCGTTGCCTGGGTTGCGTACATACTGTATGTGTGGGGCGGAGCTATCAAAATAGGGGCGAGACCCTTTTGGGGTAGGGGCGTGTTTGTTTTGGTGATTTCAAATGTCAACATTGGCTACCAGAAATCACTTACCCCACCTTTGATAGATTTTTTTAACATCATGAGAAACGTAATTCAACTCAAATATGTCTTTTAACTATATAAAAATGTGTGAAGAAATTGAATTCAATCTATGATTTGAATTACTTGTAATGTTCAGGAGGTCTTTCTATGGACTGTATCCCTACAAGTCAAGCATGATCGGTCTGGAGTCGCTGGCAGATCCATCTTCTGATTGGGACATCATAGAAACAATTGGGAAAGGAACATACGGCAAGGTCTACAAAGTCATCAGTAAGAAAGATGGAAGTCAAGCAGCAGTGAAAGTTTTGGATCCCATTAACGTGAGTCATTGTTGAAGATTTTCCTTGATTTTATAGAGTAGACCCAGTAGATTCAAAAGGGGGACATTGTGGCATTGCTATTCAAAAATGAATCTGAAACATGCTTAAAATGTACTGCGAATAAAACCTTTGTATCTGCACTCTAGTCATTTATTCATTTTAGGATTTAAGACTCGTAACAATATTTTCAATGATTTAGAAACCAAACAAAAACAGAAAAGGTGTTTCTTCTCCTCTTGTCCTCTCAGAATCCCAGTCACACTAACAGAGTAAGTAGATGTTCCTCCTAAACGGATATTTTCATATTATAGCACTATTGATTTTTGGAAAACTTGTCAGGATGTTTTATTTTTATGCCTAACCCTGATGTTCCCCATGTAGTGTGATGTCATTAGTGCTGCTTGATCCCCCATAACCCCCTGCTGCACAGTGCATGCATGGCTGCCTTCAATTGTACCCATCGAATACCCCGCTGGTCATCATACAAGCACATGCACGAAAGCTTGGGAGCGTTTTTGCATCCTTTACATTGTTATCATCTATTCTGACAAGTTATCTTTGTACTGTATATCACAACTTTTTTTGAATCCGCAGCAGTTTTCAATCATTTCTAGCTTCAGTTAGGGACAGTCCATGTTGTTAATCACAGAATCTCATAAGAACACCATATCATTACAGACAGCAAATGTTTTGTGTACTCGCATATATGATTAATGCAGTTGTGCTGATGGTTGTGTCAGGATGTGGATGAGGAAATTGAAGCGGAGTACAACATCCTGCGCTCGCTGTCCAACCATCCCAATGTGGTGAAGTTCTTTGGCATGTTCTACAAATCAGATGAGCTCTCTGGAGGGCAGCTATGGCTTGTTTTGGAGGTACATTTCTTTACCAGAGCTTGGTTTTGCATTATCCACAGGAAATAGTTGCTAGAAGATTTCCAGGAGAGTGGCATTGTCAAGTGACTGTTTATTAATTTGTGATGCATCTCTCTGATAATACTGTTTCTGGGTTTAAACCTCTTAGTTGAGAATATCATCTCAACAGCCATTTGTGAGAACTATTCATTTATATCAACTTTTAAGCAAAGCTTCACAGCTTTAAAACTCGATTCATACACAACAAACATGTTTTGGTGGTATTACAGCACACAGTGAGTGCATATTAGTACCGTTTTGTTGTTTGCTTTTGGGCTCTGAAGGAACATTTGGACTCAGAAACAGTGATGCTTGACGTCAGACCTCTAACAACTGGATTAGTAACATGTCAAAAATTGCTCTGAAGATTTCATTTTGTCAGTTCGATGAATATGATTCAAATTTAGGTCCTGAAAAATGTCTGAAATAGAAGTTATTTACTGAAAATCTTCCATTAGCTACATAAGTCCACAGATAAACCCAATGTAAACAAAAGCTATTCAAAGCTATGGAGGAAGGTAAGATTTTCAATGAATAACAATTTATATTTTGAGGTGTTCCTCACAAAGACTGGCGCTAATTAGAGCTGGTCACTGCATGTTTTCACTGCAGTCAAATAAATATTTAGGCCTAAATGTGACATTTTAATTATATAGCTATAAAATGTCCATCCATTTGGATTACACAAAAAACAGCTTTATATATTGATATTCAGTGAATCCGATTTGTTTCAGTCTCATACATTCTGACTGACTGAATATTGCTTGTTCCACAGCTAGCCATATTTGAACCATGTTCACACTTTTAACTGAATATATGTGCTTGTTTTCACAATGAAAAGATTCATGCTAATTCCAAGCAATTTGAATAAATTCATTTTGAATATATGACTATGTAGAATTAAATAGATGCAAATAGTAATAAACTATGCCATTATTTATTGATTGATTGGAAATCGTACCTATTTCTTAACATTTTCATGTGTGCATGACAAATATGCATCACATTAAGTTCATTAGTTTATTTTAAAGCTGTATAATTAAATGGTTGGAAAATGTATACGTAATTTAAATTAATACAAACAATCCTAAATTTAGGCCTAAATGTTTATTTAAGTCTGTATGCAGCACAGACGTTCTTCGAAATATTTTATTCCATGTTCTACGAAATAAAGTAATAATGTATGTTTGGAATGACATGAAGCTGAATAGAAAATGACAGTTTTTTGTTTAGGTGAACTATTTAATATGTATGCATGATATTATCTCTGATAGTATTACTGACAATAATAACGCTGAATAAAAATGCTTTGTGGTGTGTTTTGTCATTTTATAAAAAAGTGCTGGTTGCCCTCTTCTCTGTAATTGCATCTATCGTTCTTTTCTCTCTCCCGTTCCTCATTACTTTCCCTCTCTGTCTGGCATTTCTCTCTGTTAGCTGTGTAATGGAGGTTCAGTAACTGACCTGATAAAGGGTTTGCTGATGAGAGGGAAACGTCTTGAGGAGCCCATCATCTCCTACATCCTGTATGGAGCGCTTCTGGTGAGACACACACACACACATACAGACTAAAGTAATCCGCCCACCCCAGCACAGGGAACGCTGTCTCAGCACTCTGACCGTGCCAGAGTAGTTATTTTGGGCCGTGATAGTGAGGAAAGACAGAGGATGTCCAGCTGTAGACTTTAGAGGCCAATCAGAGGCAGTCTGGCCTTCAGGCCCCACTTACCGACCCAAGTTTCTCTTGTTTTATTCTCAGGGTCTCCAGCATCTTCACAACAACAGAATAATCCACCGTGATGTGAAGGGCAACAACATCCTCCTCACCACAGACGGTGGAGTCAAACTGGTGGACTTCGGTAATGGAGAGAAGATTTTTATTATAGAAAGAGGTTTTTTTTTTTTTGATTTAGAGAGATTTATATGCATTTTCCTTGCCATTCAACAATGGCTCCAAAATGGACATTAGCTGGTTTTACAGCATTTGATTTGTTGCTGCATGTAGCTTAAACAGTGTAGCAATGCTAAAATCAATATGAAGTCTCCAATCCCTTTTGAAAAAGAAATACATTTTAACACATGGAAATATGCACTTTACGAGTGTACTTTAATAGTTCAATCTGAACTAAATGCACTTTAATTGCAATTATAGTTCAAATGTACATTAAATACGAGAAGAACTTAAGTTCATCTTTGTATGTAATTTCATAATTACTTCTATTGAAATATGTTTAAAGTGGACTGCTGAATTTATGATAAACTAAAATATACTTTTAAAATGTACTTTAATGTCATTTCTATTGAAACGTTTATGTTTTCAAATATATTCGTAATTACACATTTGCAATGAAGTTGCAGTTTAGTACATTTAAATATATGAAATTTACATGTAATATTTAATAACATTTAAAATATTTAATAACATTTAAACATGTAATGCCAAATAACATTTATAAACTACTCTACATGTGCTTTAGCATGTTAGTTAACATTTCAAAATATGTATACTTTTTTTTTAAAGCACAGCACAATTATTAAAACAATAATTTAAAATGTACTTTAAAGCAAAACTTTTAATTCAAATTGATTGATTACTTTTTAAAAGTGCACTTAAGTGTTTCAAGAAACATAGCAATGAAAGGGTACTCTTTTTAAGCACATTTAAGTGGCTTTTTATTTTATTGATATAACATTTCTATTTGCAATTTCATTTTTTTTTTATAAATACTTGTAAGATTTGAAGTACACTACAGGTGCACATTCAGTGTAATTAAGCACACTTCTTTTTCACAAGAGATACCTTATACTTCTAAACAATAACTTGTATTGGTCATTTAAGCTGGTTGCTGAACCACTTTAGCTGGTTTTGGCTGTATTTTTTTTTAGTGCTGAGAATAAAACATCTTACTGCCTCAGTTTACTAGCAATTCATTTGTTGACCATACATGAGATTTAAAATATATTATTTTTATACAGCTACACATCATATATTATTATTGTATGCATAATAAAATGAACAGTATGCTAATACTGTACCGTGGTTCATGAGTTATCAGCAAATTAAATGCTACTAAATTGGAGAGGGGGCTGTGTGGGGCGACTGATTCTTGTCTGCCTGAGGCGTGTTTGTCCCGTGTGCATGTGAGAAAGAAGTGGCTCCCTGCTGGGAAGCAAAATGCCCTCATCACGTAATGCTGATGCATCCCAGCCGCCCGCTCCCTGCCCTATTGTCACGTCAAATTACTTGCCACCTGCTAAATGTCTGAATCCATACAACTGTTATTTGTCCTACTTGAGAAATAACTGTACAGTTATTGTTGTTTGTTAACACAGATGTTCACAAATTTCAGTAGAAAAACAATCACATTCAATGAAAATAAAGAAAAATAACTGTATTAAGCTATGATTCTGACATATGAGGTCTTGGTTTCTTGCAGGTGTCTCAGCTCAGCTGACGAGTGCCCGTCTACGCCGAAACACATCCGTGGGAACCCCGTTCTGGATGGCACCTGAGGTCTGTCCTGTCATAAACATACGACCTTACTCTCTTTATTTCTGCCTTTCAGTATCTTTCTAGTCAACACCCATCTCTATTTTTGATGAAGTACAAAACATTTTATACTTAAAGGTGGGGTAAGTGATTTCTGGAAGCCAATGTTGACTTATGAAATCACCAAAACAAACATGCCTCTACCCCGAAAGGGTCTCGCCCCTATTTTGATAGCTCCGCCCCACACATACGTACGCAACCCAGGCAACGATTAGTTCTGTGAAACAAAGCAAAACCAATGTTACACCGTGTCTACACCGGATAGCTATAGAACTCATAATCAGTGATGCTGTCTACACCATAGATATATATATATATCTCTCTCCTCCACATCATGAGTAGACACGCCCCTTACTGCTGATTGGCTACAAGTTTGTTTTGCTATTCGGCCCGAATCAGTTTTCTAAAGCGTTTGTGAAAAATCGCTTACCCCACCTTTAAACGATGAGACGTTGTAATGAAAGTTCTGTTACAAATCACTCACCTTCATGTCACTCCAAACTTGAATGGTTCAGTGTTGAACTGAAAGTTCCAGCTGCTCTTGTCTGCACAGTAAAAATGAATTCAATGTGAATTCTATTCAAATATGACATGCCAGTATGTGTTTTAGCAGGTTTGAAGTACGTGACATTGTTGGTTCTCAGACATGAATGAATAATATTTGAGAGCTATGACAGATTGTAAGTAAATAATGACTTAAATGTTCAGACTATTCCCCAAACAAAGCAGTCGTATAATTTTAAAATGTGTTTAATATAGAGCATTAGTCATTCGGACTACATTTATGGGACATTTGTGTCATATTCATTGTCATTATATGAAGAAGAACAGCTACAACTTTCTCATACAGTTCTGTTTTTGTTTTCTAAATTGTACATGTGGGCGTATAAATGGCATAGGCGTTTGGAAATAAAATGCCCGGTGAATGCTGCAAATCACTCAGGTTAACAGTGTTTGACAATAATGTACCACCTACACTAAACTCTACCCTAAACCTAGCTGATAGTGTTAACAAAAGAAAGCGTGAGATAAAAACACACATGCTAAAGAAACCATGCCATTTTAGCTTGCTTCTACAAAAGTTTGAGCTCTTTATTGTGACTCGTACCCGAGTGCTCTGCATCGCAAGTGCAGTGCTGTACCAGGTGAGCTACTGAGCAAGTTTACTACATTAGAAACATCATATGGAGTTGATTATGAGATGAAAATGTCAAAATGTTCAGCACTATAGTTAAAGTGTTGGTTATATGTACTTTAACCATAGTGCTGAACTTAACCAAAGTTGTATGGTTAAAGTGTGCACTATGGTTAAAGGACATAAGCACTATGGTTTAAGTGTTTTGAAGTGTTTTGAAGTCATATTGTGCAAGGAACCAAGCAAAAATAAGTCTTTATTAATTGATTAATCAGCCCCTATAATCACAATTTGTGTGGAAAGGAATAAAAGTAATTGTCGTGTTACTGCCACTAGCAAACTGTGTTCATTTCAGTTGGAAACGGCTGTGAATTGTATTTATAGATATGTTTTTAGAATTTTGCAAAAATATAGGTAAGCAGTTTTTTTTAAACTACATTATCACACAGCTCTATACAGTATAGAAATTTGTATATATAAGTACAAGGGTGTCCAAACTCTGCAGGACAGTGACCCTTCAGGAGCAGATTCGGACACCCCTGTATAATTATATCCAGCTTTACAGTATACTCACTTAAAAAGTTAATTATTTTTATCATCCCAAGATGTAAACTATATTATCTAATCTACCAAATGTAACTAGAGATTATAAACATTAACATCGTGGTTTTCTGTAAAGCTGCTTTTAACAGTGAGTATTGTGAAAGTGCTATATAAATACATTTTCCAGTATGCCTGTGTTACTAATAAGTGCTTTTGTACTCACTGAAACAATCTGTTTTCCTTTCCTTTTCCTTTGAGTAGATTCAGTACAGCTTTGTGAAAAATATCTTAATGCTTAGTGTGTTTTTGTGTATATGCATTAGTGAGCTATGTAACAGAGGTGTGTGTGTGTCTGTGTGTCTGTGTGTGGGGGGGGGGGTCATGTGAAGGTTAATAGCTGAGTGCCGCTCTGTGAGAGTGAAATAAAGCGAGGTGATGGGGCCAGTAGGGGAGGCCCCTAGGGCCAATTAAAATACAGTCTAAATTAAACGCTCGGCAGAATGCCAATTGGCCACAGTGTTTCTGACAGACTGATTTAATGCTGCAAAACAACATAATCATTGTGATTATTACAGTACAGTAATGATTAAATCACGAAAATTGGTTGACTGGAGCTGAAACAAAATTAACTTTCAAAATGATTCTGTTAAATTCACATGGATATACTGCATAAATATAAAGCTTATTTAATAATTTTAAACCATATAATAATGAAACTGGTATGAATCCCTCTAAAACTTAAATTGACTTTAGTTGGAAATGGAGGCCAATCAGTTTTAAAAACTGAAGTTATCAGTTATATTTATTGTATCAGATGTTTCTACTAAAATACCTTTGGGGATTTAAAAATAGACACAAATGAGTTAATAGTTGACATGCAGTAAGTGTATAGAGCTATAAAAATTAATATAGGTTGCGCCTAACTAAGAATTTAATAATAATAAAAAAAATATATAGAGTGTATATATATACAGTGGGTACGGAAAGTATTCAGACCCCCTTAAACTTTTCACTCTTTGTTATATTGCAGCCATTTGCTAAAATCATTTAAGTTATTTTTTTTCCTCATTAATGTACACACAGCACCCCATATTGACAGAAAAACACAGAATTGTTGACATTTTTGCAGATTTATTAAAAAAGAAAAACTGAAATATCACATGGTCCTAAGTATTCAGACCCTTTGCTCAGTATTTAGTAGAAGCACCCTTTTGATCTAATACAGCCATGAGTCTTTTTGGGAAAGATGCAACAAGTTTTTCACACCTGGATTTGGGGATCCTCTGCCATTCCTCCTTGCAGATCCTCTCCAGTTCTGTTGTCAGGTGGGATGGTAAACGTTGGTGGACAGCCATTTTTAGGTCTCTCCAGAGATGCTCAATTGGGTTTAAGTCAGGGCTCTGGCTGGGCCATTCAAGAACAGTCACAGAGTTGTTGTGAAGCCACTCCTTCATTATTTTAGCTGTGTGCTTAGGGTCATTGTCTTGTTGGAAGATAAACCTTCGGCCCAGTCTGAGGTCCTGAGCACTCTGGAGAAAGTTTTCGTCCAGGATATCCCTGTACTTGGCCACATTCATCTTTCCCTCGATTGCAACCAGTCGTCCTGTCCCTGCAGCTGAAAAACACCCCCACAGCATGATGCTGCCACCACCATGCTTCACTGTTGGGACTGTATTGGACAGGTGATGAGCAGTGCCTGGTTTTCTCCACACATACCACTTAGAATTAAAAAAAGTTCTATCTTGGTCTAACCAGAGAATCTTATTTCTCACCATCTCACAACTCCATGCGGGCTTTCATGTGTCTTGCACTGAGGAGAGGCTTCCGTCGGGCCACTCTGCCATAAAGCCCCGACTGGTGGAGGGCTACAGTGATGGTTGACTTTCTACAACTTTCTCCCATCTCCCGACTACATCTCTGGAGCTCAGCCACAGTGATCTTTGGGTTCTTCTTTACCTCTCTCACCAAGGCTCTTCCCCCCCGATAGCTCAGTTTGGCCGGACGGCCAGCTCTAAGAACTACCACATTTTGCTATAAGTTTGATTGCATCATATAATAATTGCTGTTAATATTATTCATCGTCTGTTTTATTACGTCTTATATTGATTTTTCTGTACTGCTGGTTCGTCTGGTCAGAGGAGAACTGGCCCCCCGACTGAGCCTGGTTTCTCCCAAGGTTTTTTTCTCCATTCTGTCAC